ACGACACGATATTGGGGGCTTCTATACGTGGTCGTTTTGCGACATCGGGATGAAGCAGTTCAACATCTTCGGTTCGTTCTGGGCATTGCGATTTCCCCAAACCTTTTGCGACGCACTCACCGGAATTATGAATGTTTTTCAAAGTTTCTAAATTGTCTTGAACTTGCCTTTTAAGATTTTCCAGTTTTTTTAGTTTATCCACGCAAGGTCTACATATGTACGGAGATGAACCAATTTCAACTTCAAATGGCAATTTTTCCAGTGAAGATCTCACATTAAACTTAGCCTTTCCATCTACAAGCAAGCGGTTGTTTGCTTTTTCAATTACATTATGACAAAATATGCAGACCATCTTATGAATAACATTAATAATGTATGATCTTACTTAACCATACATTTACATGAATCGCTTTGAACTTCATGAATACTAGCGCGCGGGAGTTACGTCCGCCATTTTGTAAATGTTCGCGCATAAATAACATACTTACTCTAATTATTCCGCACAAGCAATTGGTCAAGTATTCACAAACGTATTTTACGTGTACATTACGTCTGTGCGCAGGCTAGTGTTATCTTTGTGGCTTTATCAATTACAACATCTTCCTTACCATATTTTGAACTGGTTCTGAATGTCGTGATCTTAACAGGACTTTTTTTCAGTTTGGAATTTCTGCAAAACTGATCTTTTTTCAGGAGAGAAACACACAGCATTCATAGAACCATCAGACGTTTGCAAAGTCATATTGAAATATTTGCAAGTACCCGAGGCAGATACTTTTACTGGTAAGACTGCATGGAGATAGCAAGAAAGTCCATTAGCATCTTTAACTGAAGCTAGAAAAAGTAAAGGAGACCAGAAATTACTATTAAGTTAAATGTCATCATTTGCTTAGCTTTGTTTATAGTTTGCTTACATTGATCTTGGCTGGTCATCCTTGTTAAATTTGAATCTTAAAAAAATATAAAAGGAAACTTTATAGTTTAAATAAAGGTGGTGATTTAAAATACTTTAGTACATCAGTTTCTGAAAAATGTAAAAATTATACACCAGTACATCCAAGTACACTTGGTATTAAAGTTGATTACTGATAAAAGTTCTGTGCTCGGCTCCAAGTAACAAAACGTTATCGACAGAATTATATATTAGAAAATTAAATAATGAGCATTGTTTTCCACGAGAATCGTTTCTAAAATGTTGAATGATAGCAATCTTTATTCAGGAGACATTCTCACATACGTGATTTTCGAATGGTCCTTCCGTAGGAAAACAAAGTTAAACTTTTTTACTTACCTTTGATTTAAAATGTACCCACTCCAAGTCCAAACTCAGAGAAAAAAGAAAGCACGAGCTGTGGAGCGCCCGCAATACTACCTACCATATGTGTAACTTTTCAGTTATTGTTTAGCGCTCTATCAAAATTCAAAAAGTCAAATCAAACCAGTGAATCAAGCCCACATCGAAAACATCAAATCGACATTTGCAGCAATAAATTATATGGATAATAGGATTCTAGAAATTGATTGTTCAACAAAAGATACTTCTGTCTGAATTTATCAGAAAACTGTGACGAGTGTTGTCACTGTTGTGTTGCTGAAAATATTTAACAGTTTAATTACTAAGGTTTTTTTGCAAATTGTAAATAATAGACTTATAAATAGTTGTATATATAAACAGTATTGAATAAAATTGTACTGATTTGCTCAGTCGTTTATTTAAGGATGAATCTAGCTGTATTTACAGCGGTATTTCCAAGAAAAAGAACCTATAAAGTTATAGACAAAGACACACTGTCTAACAAATAATTAATTAGTCAAAATTGATTTTACGGAAATTAATAAGTATAATTTTACATTAAGTCATTAATAGGCTTGGAAAGGCAACACTACAGATACATCACATCACGTCACATGACATCACATATTAGTTAACACTACACAGCACATCACATAGTACATTTTATTTAATATCAGACACACAACATCACAACACAGCAAAATACAGAACTCTATTTACATGAATTTATCTGACAACACTGTGTATGTATGAAATTTGTTCAATGTTCAACTATAAGTGCTTGAAAAACAGTTCTAAATTGATCTGATGACATTAAGTATATTGACATGGCTGTACAATTATACCATTAGTTCCTTAAGATTACTTGATGAATTGTTCATTCATATTTTTGTAGCAAAACACTGGAAAAACAAATTAAATGACATTTGGAACTACCAGGTCCATGACAGTAAATGAACCTGGTTTAGTTGTCCACTGATAGCACAGGTAACACTGTAACAGTGTAGTTCACCTCTCCTTCTGTATAACTATATTACACTTTTTCCGTGAAAAATCATGTTTCTTCACTTTTCTGCATGAGCAGACATCATTGTTGTAGCTATAGCAGTTTCATCGTGCTCTTCTTATTCAGTGCAATCACATTGTTGAAAAAGGTTAAATTCCAATATTTTTGGCAAAAACCAGAATCCAGAAATGCCATTGTGTCTTCTAATTGAGTTTAAAAAGTTAATTTTGTTACATACACATCTCTTCTTGTGTTACTCTATTATTCTTTCAGTTTCCCTTGCAAAAATGACATTTCTTGATTTTCCTGAATGAATGATGTTGAAATGATAAATGACAGCTTCAAAATGTTTTCATTATTGACTGTTATCCAATTGTTTGAGCAGTATATATTGTATATTCCAATATTTTTATATTTGTCCAGTTATGCCATTGTATTTGCTAATCCAGTTGCTCTTTATTTTTATCCAGAAGTAGGCATCTATACAAAAGAAAAGAACATGATTTTTTTAATACAATAGTCACTAGACTCACTACAATACCCTAGCTAGCCCAACGAATGTCGCAGAAGTGTGTAGTGAAGTACAGAAACAAAGTAAAAACTAAACTTACCAAACAACATGTTGATGAGCATATTTTCATACATACAGTGACAATAAATGACATTCTTCAAATAATATGGAAATAATTTACAACAGAAAATAAAGCTAATATACAGTACACAAGAAAGTAATGGGACCTTTAACAGAATCCCATGTCTAATTTCAAACTATATTTTTTGTCAATTTAAAACGCACTGCTATTGGTAGTCTGTGCTAAACGATCTAAGCGGTCCTCCTCCTCAAGCCTGTATTGTAAATTAGCTGATGATTTCAAGCTTGTTAATCGTTCATATGTCATGGGTTCAATGACGCAAGATGAAAGTGATTTCACTCTGCTTATAGCAACATATGAAACTCCAGCAGTTCTTTCTGATTTTCCAATATCTATCCAAGCTCTTGGAAGAGTAAGTCCTTGGCTCTTGTGTATTGTTAGAGCCCAGGCGAGTCTTAGAGGCAACTGTTGCTGTTCATGAAAACCAGTTTCTGACTGTGATGAGACGGTGATTGGACATATTGGAATGCAAGATGGTTTGTCCACATTAAAAGCAGGACCTCTATAGTTTTCAAACTCAATAATGACTGCAATAGGCAAGTCAGGTGGTTGATGGTTGTTGTGATAGATAATATCAACAACTATTCCAGTAGCACCATTGCAGAGCCCAACACTTGACCACAAATTCATAGTTAACATGACTCTGGCACCTTTTGTCAGAAAAACAACTGGTTCTAAGCCTGACATGTCATCAGATGAAATTTTTTTTGCCATTTCTGATGAATGACGAGCATTGACACGGGCAATCATGACTAGTTTTGAAAGTTGCTCATGATTGTAGTTGGCAACTTGTTCATTGCTGTAGAAAGTCTAGTAGCGTCTTCAAATTCTTTATATTTGTGACTTTTGATGGTTGACGGGTTAGGAGTAATTTCCAATCATCAATTGTTAATTCGCCTTTGCGAAGTCGTAACAATAACTCTCTAAAAATGATTTGTTCAGATGTCACACCTTGAACTCGTTGATTTACTGTGAGTTTAACAACTTTCTCAAACATTTGATATGCTTGAAAACCTTGTTCACCAACAGCACTGGATGGTTTAGCATGATAAAGAGGTTTGTCTGCTACTGGTGGCAACTGACCTGGATCGCCAGTTAAAATTAACGAGTTTCCTCCAAATACTTTGTCATAAGACCAGTTGCTTGTTGGCAACGTTTGTCTATCCAACCAAAAGTAACTTGACCAAGCATAGAATACTCATCAATGATGATGTAATCAATATCAGTCAGATTCTCCTGCAATCTGCACAAGCTTTGCCCTGTTAGATCTTTTTTACCTTGCGATCCTACAGGTAATTTCGATAAAGAATGAACCGTCATTCCTCGTATATTATACGCTGCTTTTCCAGTTGTAGCAGTAATTGCACACTTCCTTTGTAACAAATTTCGAATGCCATTAATAAGATAACTCTTACCAGTTCCTGCAACGCCATTTATAATCAGACACAATGGCTCTTTATGTAATGATGTATTATTGAAATGAGAATTCACAATGTCGTAAGCAAGTTTTTGCATTTCACTAAAAGTGTCAATATCAACATCATCATATTGCTCATCCATACTGAATTCTTTCTTGTTTGTTTTTAACCATGAAGGCATTTCATGGATTTTTTGTTCAGAATAATTACCTCTGTCAACATGCCAGTCATACATTGACTCTGGCGTTTCCTCTGATGTGTCAAATGGTGTGTTAAGATCTGATAGAATCATCCACTCCTCTCGAATTGTTTCTGGTTGTTCAGAAGATTCAGCTTCTGATTGTTGACTTGAATGACAGCTTGTAACTTGTCAAACCAATCAGGGACATTGTGTTGCCCATAAGGTGATTGCAAGAATTCTTGCCAAGTGTTGACAAAAGTTTCGTCAGTAGGGTCCTCTTGATCACCCCATGCGTTATTCTGAGAACTTCTCCAAGGTTTATAGCTCAAAAGTTGGTATTTGCAATAAAGACCGAAATTTTTACCTTTTGGATTTGGAGAGTACGTAGGAAATATTCTTGGTATGACATTCTCTGGCAATTTTGTCAGTTGATTTTTTACAACTTTTTTTACGTCGTAGCAAACTGGACGAATTTCATGTTCACAACGTCTCGTGAATTATTATACTCATGACGATTAGCATATACGTCAAGAAGTGAATGATCAGTACATGATTCATCTTCTTCAACATTTTCACGTACTCTGCGTGAACCATTTAAACTTATTGGGATAACATTAAATGATGAGCTATGAAGTTTTAGTGACAATAAATGATGCATTGTCTCCTGGGCTGCATAATCCCTTTCACCGGGAGACTTCATAACTATTTTTTTAATAGCTCGATGAGACTCGCTATTAACATCTATATTTTGAACAACAGAATTGAATGCTTGGTTTAATAAAAGCGATCTTATTTCACCCTTAGCAGCATATTTTGTCAGATACTCAACACAAGCATAGTGATCGATGACAACTTGAATATCGCAATTGGCTCTCCATCCTTGGAGTTGCAGTTGTTGATTATTTAACCTGCCATCATTTCGTTCAGTAACAACTTTAGCTCTGTAATGATCATCATTATCTTTAGTGTGAATTTTTTCAAATTCTAGCTTTGTCTTTGGACAATGCTCAAAGGGAAAATGAAATCGACATTTTAAATCTGTTTCATTTGACTTTTTTCTCAGACAATAACTTGTACTGCAACGAGTGTGTCTTTGAACCATGTTTAAAAGATCTACATAATCTGACTGTTTTTCATGTTCAGAGATGTCTTTATGACGTCGTTGACATGGATGAACCTCAGGTCTTATCCACATGTCCTCATCTGGTGGATTTGGCTTTACAGTTGATAACAACCAATCAACATACCGGCATACTGTCTCAGCAGCTTTCTGACCAGCCTCAATATCCTGGTCTAGTTCTGTTGTGTCAAAGCAATCATTTTCTTCTCTAAATTTTTGTGCTAAGAAACCTTTCAAAGCAGTCTGAGTTAATTGACACAAATCTGGGTCATTATTTAATTTAGCAGTACCATGACAATGGATACTACCTCTACCTTGATACTCATATCTGAACAAGTGCCACTTTGCACCAAGTGTTTCATAAAGCCAGTGTTTAACAAAGCTTTCTAGTCTCTGTGTGAAAAACCAGTCCACAAGATGAGGATTGTTAATGACATTTTGTCGCCTTGATTCACTGGAAATATTAGAATTTTCACAGTCTCTATCAGCATTAAATAATGCATGCAACTCAGGCCAATGCATATCTGCTGAGGAAAAAGTAAAAAATAATGTTGGTGGTCCAACATTTGTTATTATAGCTTTAAGTTCCTCTTGCACTTTATTCCAGTAAGCATTTGTACCTGCAATATTTCCAACATATCTGGAAACTTTAGACATAAAAACATTAGCACTGTTACTGGCAGCCATTTCACGCAGTTCATCTATAGTGAGATGTGCTTCACCTGGATTTTGTTTCAGGAATATCCCACTTTGCTGCAAAATTCGTTTTCTTTGAATCATATTGAAGGCCCAATAAGGAAACCTAGGGTGATTTGCAAAACGGTATACCCATTTACCATCAATAATTTCAGCAAACTTTAGAAGATGTTTTATTTTTTCCAGAAGAGGAACATCTCTCAGGAGTTCTTGATTGGTACAATCACCTTTTCCATCAGGAAATAATGTTGGGAAAGCCATTGTTGCTAAATAAGGCACTTGATACTCATTTATTGGTTCATTATCAACTGTAGGCCAGGACATTGGCTCATTTCCACAGAGCTTATTTCTAACAGCTTCAATTTCCTGTTGTTGTTGTTCACCAACAGGTAAAAAACTACTCATCTCTGTTGACTCATTGTAAATAATATCCTCAGAAGGATTATCAGTTGGGGGACCCATATCTGGAAAACTGTCATTGTCTGAGACAATATCATCATTAGTCTCAACAGTCATAAGTTCTGGTGGTACACCATTTTCAGGCAGTGAATGCAATGCGTGATCATTAATTAGTATTTCAGAATAATGTGGATTATTATTCACTAGCCAAACTAAAGCACTGTAGACTTTTTGTTTTCTTACTCTGACATCTTGAAATGTGTTGTCCTTGCCTTTAACTTTGACAATAATTACTGCCAAATGCTTGGGATATCTTGGCAAAGATTTTGCAAGTTCTGTGACATTTTGAGGCAGGTTAATACAATGCCTTTAATACCCCCTTTGCCCACCAGGTTTAATATACACTCATTATTGGCAAAGCACGAGCAATTAACATTTCCTCAACTTGAGTCAAGTTTTGCAGTTCATCTGGGACAGATGAAGGTATCATGGAATTTTCAGATGAAAATTTTCTAGGATACTTTTTATCTCTAGAGCATCTTGAACACACATAAGGTGTCCATGGTTTAGCTTTCAGGGGCCATGCCTCCTGACAAATTGTACATTAAAAAACAGTATATTGCATAGATTTACAAAACTTGTTGATGTTAGCTTTAGCCCAACATTGCTCTTCAATACCACCATACTTTGTGTTGTCAAAATTTTTTAAATAATTTTCTTGATCAATTTCATTTGCAGGCTGTGACACTTTTTTTCCACGCTTTTGTTTTTTGGCTTGTCTATCTTTCTCAAGCCTGATCTGTTTAGCACTGTCAGTTTCCTTTGACCGCTTTCTTTTCATAGACTCACTCACTTTTTTGAGCCTGATTGCTTTTGACTGTTTTCTTTTTCTACAATCTTTAGCCTTGCTTGGGCTTACATTAGTTTTTGTTACATACACAGGTACTATTTCAAATAAATTGACATGTAGTTTTGTCGAAAGAGAATACAAAAATTGTTCCAAATCTAGAACATTATCAAACTTAATGACAACTGCAGTGCCATTAGGATCAGGCATGCCATTTCTGTCTCTGGCATGAGAATCAAATATATAGAAAAAGTTTGATTGCTTTATTATTGCCATCATATAGCCCTCTAAAATTAAAATAGCAGAACTATGACTAATGAATGTATTCAAAAGTGCCGAATGAAGAGTATAGTAATGAGACTCAACATTGTCAGTTATAACAAGACCCTGAAGCTCCTGTTCATAATTAATAAACCAAATAAGGTTTTTATCCATAGATTCTACCACCATGGGTAGCTCAGTGTTTTCTACCACAATCGGTATTTCAGTGTGTTCTACCCTCATAGGTAGTTGGGTGTTATTGTGTGCCTCAAAGGGCTCTACTACAATGGGTAGTTCAGTGTGTTCTACCCTCATAGGTAGTTGAGTGTTATTGTGTGCCTCAAACGGCTCTACCACAATGGGTAGTTCAGTGTGTTCTACCCTCATAGGTAGTTGAGTGTTATTGTGTGCCTCAAAGGGCTCTACCACAATGGGTAGTTCTGTGTGTTCTACCCTCATAGGTAGTTGAGTGTTATTGTGTGCCTCAATGGGCTCTACCACAATGGGTAAATTAACATCTTCTGCTACCACCGGCAGTTCGATTTCGTATGAAAACATGCTCCCACAACATGAAACACCAACAACTTTTGGTAAGTTATCTACAGACAAAAATTCGATACCTGGGTCTAAAACAATTAAGCCACTGTTGAGAGCTTTTAAATACATTTTGTCAGCTTGCAATAAGACATTATTTAAAGTTATTATTGACCAATCTGAAATTGGGATATTTTCTGCTGTTAAAACTGCCGATAAGCTCATGAAAGCACATTGCTTACCTCTAGATTGAACACTAAAATGTTCACTGCCTTGATGAAAATTACCAGCAATATGTAAATCAGCCATATCGTTTTGTTTTTCAGTTTCTTAAATATTTTCTTCTATTTAGACTTCCGACTTCTAATCTAAGCACATGGAATGAAATGTACCGCGGGCACAAGATCTTGCTTGGCAACTCAGTGCGCTCCCCCTCATTCTGTAAAAACTCCCCCCCGAAATGTTAACAGACACAAATAGAGATTTCGACAATATATAGTTCGCCAGGTCGCTAAGCCATGTCAAGAATAGTGTGCTGCCACGCTGGCGCGCGGCAGCAATAAGAACAGTGGGCACTGTGAATGATTTTTATTTTGATAGAGTTTTATAAAATATACTTTACAATCACTATAAATCCTGGGTGTGGAAAGAAACACAACAAGAAGGTTCTTCAGCAGGTTCTTCTTATTTTGTGAATAGTTATATTGTTGGCAATTAGCATACACATCAAGGATTGAGTAATCTGTGCATGATTCACCTTTCTCAATACTTGCAGTGTGGCGTGTACTCTATGTGAACCATTTAAACTAACTGGTATGAATGACTTAAAATGATGAACTATGAAGCTTTAAAGAGAGTGAATAATGCATTGTCTCCTGAGCATCATAATCTTGTTCTTACTGTCTACATTTTGCACAATAGAATTAAATGCCGTTTTCAATAAAGGTGACCATGATTCACCTTTAGCTGCATATTTTGTAAGATATTCAACACATGCATAGTGATCAATAACAACTTGAATATCACAGTTTGCTCTGCATCCTTGGAGTTGAAGGTGTTAGGGGTTATTTAACCTGGAGTCATTTCGTTCAGTGACAATTTTTGCTCTGTAACGTTCGTAATTAGCTGAAGTATGAATTTTTTCAAATTCTAATTTTGTCTGAGAACAATGATCAAAAGGGAAATGAATTTTACATTTCAATTCAGTTTCATTTGACTTTTTTCTAAGGCAATAGCTTGTGTTGCAACAAGACTATTGAAGGTAATATAAATTTAGTTATTTGTATTTTGACTATTCCATGTACTTTATATCGGGTCTCATATCATATGTACCCTGAATTCATGAAACTTAGGTCAACCATTGAGGAAAGTTTAACAAGAGGAAAGGGCTCATTACTTTAATATGGGTGATGCATGTGTCATCAGCCATCCCTGGAGGGGGGCCCTCGGGCTGACCACTTGAAATGAGGGGACTTTGCACAGGGATTGATTTCAAAATTGGCCCTTGATCACCGGGGAAATCGCAACTTTTACAACAAACAAGCCCTTCCTCTCGGAGAATACCCAGGGGAATTATTGTTCAATTCTAAGATGTGGTCAGCGGTTATACCCTTTACATCATGTTATCGCTATTATAGGCTATTGTAAATTTCTCCTTCGAATTCAATGTGTATATTTTTAAGTAATCGAAATCCATTGTGTATTTGCGAAATATTTCTTAAAGGTTGGGGCAACAGTCAGAAAAAGGCTGTTGTTGCTGATAGCCTGGAAGATTTATTAAAAAAAGGTACGTTGAGTATACAACATTTTAATTTACATATATACATATGATGTTTAAATAATTTTTCATAAATAAACATACATATTGAACCGCATCTCCTCATGACTGTATTGCTCTATTTACTAGTGTAATATAAATAATAAATGTTATTAGTTGTTGACATAGTTTTTTTAAAACATTGTATGAACATGCAAAGAAAAACTTGGGATGGCTGATGTGAGAAACGTGAAAATTTGCATGTCTGACGGAACTGAGATCGATGATGATGAAATTCTAAAGAATTGTGCCGAAGGAACTATCCCACATTTTGTCTCTGAGTCAGCTGAGCAGGAAAAAATACAGAGTTGCCACGAGGAGACTTTCACTTCAACCAGTTATTATTTTTTATGACAAAAATCACTATGACCCAATATTTTGTTCAGTTTGCAGGGTATTTTTAGTATTTTATATATCTTCTGTCTGGGATATATTTTTGATGCAGGGGTGCACACCCTCCTTCGCTTGCAAAAGGGAGAGGGGGTGGGGTGACTGCAGAGTTTGACAGTTTTCAAGGATGGTTCTGAAATAGATCTTCATGTTACAGGTGCACAACATATTGCAAGGCTAAGGGGCTCTATATTTTTAGGGTTTCTCAGCTTGGTGCCAACCATGGTGGTGATTGGGCTTTTGACCATCTTGACCAAGGGACATAATCCATTGACAAATCAAAAGTTTATTAGTTCTTACTTCAAATTTTCATCATTCATAGAATATTCTGTTCTATCATGTGTACGTTCCCAAGGCTAAGAGGCCAAATATTTTCTGATAGGGTACATTCTCCTGCTTCAGGTCAGGGATCTACATAACCCCTTCTTCATTGACTTTTGAAATTTTGTAACCCCTCGTCGAAAATATCCATCATCATATCTGTATAAATGTAAAATTGTAATTTTATTATACATTTCCTAGATCTGTACTTTTAATTTTAATATAGGAAGACAATAAGCATGGGAAAACACTTGTTCAGTTAAGTTCAGCTGAGTTGCAGGAAAGAGGAAAAATTTTCACATATGTCAATCCAATGAATTATCAAATAGGAGTTAATGCTGCTGCTTTTTAGTGATGCCAGGATGATGCAAGTCTTCTGTTAAATAAAGGAAAATTATTTGAAGAGGCCCGGAAGAAAGTGGATGTATCTGGATATCAGTATGTAAAGAAGTCATCAAGATCAACTGTCTATGGTTCTGGCAAGTATCCTTGAGAAAAATCGAGAGAAAACTATGCTTGAAAAAGAGTTGAAAGAGCTCAACAAAGCTAAATCCAAGAAGAAGATATCAAAGAAAAGGCGTCATGAAGTTCCTAGTGTAAATACCAATGAATCACCTGGGAGCACAGATGTTTATATTAGCAGTGATAGCAGTCATAGCACTGAAAATGACCCTTCCATTCCACCTTTGGTAAGGCAAAACGCAAATGCTGGTATGATCTACAGTTCTACTGTTGCAGCACCACAGAGTGCAACCACCAGTGCAGAATCTGTCCAGGATTTTCCAGAAGCCCCAAAGATGTAGATTTATCAGCTTTGGGGGACACAAATGAATGTCACCTAAACTCAGATGAATGTCTTGAAAAATACATGAAATATGTTAAGCAGAATCTCACAGAAGGGCGAAAAGTAAACGATGATCTGTATATAACATGTATTAAGGACATGTCTTTAGCTGAATTTGTTATGGCAGTGAAAACACACTGTAGCGATATTCATGGTGATCGAATTTGTGTTAAGTGTAAACCTGTTGTTATGGCTGCGAATGAAATAGGCAAAAAGGGCATTGTTCCACTATCAGTATTATACAGACAGTTTTTTGGAACTGTGTACAAATCAGACAAAGCTATTTGACGTCTACTTCAATTTCCTGTTATAATTTTTCGTTCATTTAATCAGTTCTTTGTAAGCGAATTTGTTGATAATATTGACTTTAGAAAACTTGTTCAGTGTGTTTCTAAATATATTCCTCAAAAAAAATTGTCGTCTGGAGTAGACAAAGACAGTTTACAATGAATGTGTGAGTTAGCAAGCAATGAAAAGGATAGAAGATTAATCAGAGTAGCATGTGGTCAAGGAAAGTCAGCAAACAAGGCAAAAGCAATAGGTATTTCCGATCTAAATAAGGAAAAAGCCATGGTTTATGAAGCAATAGAAGAGTATCAAGAGATTAAAAGAGCTGTAAATAAGATAGCGGAAGCGAAAAATGTTAGTATGGGGTATGATTTTACTGCTAGCTCGTCACAGACCAGTAGTGAAGACAAATCATGTGTTTGGATAAGTGGTGATGCCAGCGATGAACATTCAGTGGAAAGAAGTACTGGTAAGGATAAACAATCTTTAGAAGGGCAAAATATATCATCATATGTTATGCAGGAACAAGCAGAAAGTACTACACAATCAACCACAATACCACGTCAATCTGCTTTGATAATAATGCTTAAAGAAAATAAAATGAACTGGCTTTCATTTGTTGAAGAATTGAAACTTAACATTAACAACCTGTCTGAAGAAAGTTTAAAGGAACTTCTTGAAGGTCTTATCAGATTCATTCACAACAGTGATCTAACTGACATTGAGAAAAATTGTGCAGACCAATCATATCAAGCATTCCTTGCTGTCAGAAAAGGAGCCAGCAGAGAAGATCAGGAAGTTGTCACTGAGTCAGAAAGCGACAACCCAGAAGACTGGGTTCATTTGGAAGAAGTTACGGCAGATTCCGCTCAACTGCAGAATAAAATTCATAAACAAGAAATTATTCTTAAAGAATACAAAAAGCGCCCTATTGCTAAAGAAATTGCCCGCCGTTACTTACTCAAGAGGAAAGTTCCCAATCGTGTATCCAGAACGGTCTTAAAGTATCCCAATATTGGAAAAGATATTGAAAAATTCGCCCGCGAGAATTGGATTGGGGCAGATTCCTGGAGAAGAACTGGTGTGTTGACGTTCAGTGGAAATGTGAAAAGTGGGCCAAAGCTGACATACAAACGTATTCAAGCACACTTGCAAGAGAAGTATGGGGTTCAATTTGGTTATGGTACTATATAGTTCAACTGTGCTGTGTTAAGAATAAGGGAAAACTTTCTGCAAAACGATATTTTGGTGCAGCTAGGATTGTTTCGAAGCGTGCAAGGAAAGGATTTTCAGTGAAACTTAATGTTGATGCTCATTAGAGCTGTGCATTTTACAAAGAATTAGATTTTCTGCATCTTAAAGATGGAAGAGATAAAGTAATTTTAAATAGGGATGATGCTGCTGGATTTCGATTAGACTCTACCTTTACACATAAGCAACACAAGATACTTGCAGAAGCTGGAAATCCCAAGCTGACTACAGCGACTGACTTTCTAAATAAATACACTGCAACTCTGCAAACAACATCGTTTATTTTTTTCGAGACAGAAACTACACCAGAAACTTGCATAGGAGTAGTCAAAGCTCACAAAGTACATCACAAGAAGCCAGCTCAACATGCCAGTGATTTGGAGATGTTAAAAAGTCATG